CACATGCTTTAACTGACTTTGATTCAGTCCCATTATAGCTGTCTTGCTACAGTCAGCACTCCTTAGCACACCAAATGTGTATTAATCCGCAGCTGGAAATAGTCCCTAACAAATGTTTCACTTAGTTCTGTTAAATGAAACTGAGTTTTTCTACGGATTTGTTTCACCATGAGCAGAAGGTGTTAGAACATGTCCTGTACATACACACTGTACTGCACAGACCTGACGCTTCGGGCGTCCCCTCCGGTCGACGGCCAGGCTGGGCCAGCACAAGCAGCGTTGTTGTGATTTTAGTTCATAGAGGGGGGGTTGAACGCGACCCCAGATCAGTTGAGGTGTGTAGTGGCGTTCCCGGATCGGTGGATTTTGTCTCCGGATTTCTGAATGTCTGTCGGAATCTTCTGCAGAAATGTGGCGTGGCAGTCTGTCAGCGTCTCCAGCAGCCAGCCTCGACTCCAATCAACTGCCGCCTTTTCAGGTGTGTGAGCTCCTAGGAAGGGGAGTTACCCAATACCCCAAGTGGAACATCAGCCTCTCCCTGCTTCCTAACTCCACCCCTAACCGTACACCTAGGCCTCCTAATTATGTGCCATAACAGAGGCCAAACACCAAACAAGAGTGAATCTAGGATCGGCTTTTACAAACACTAACTGCAATCCTGCGTAGCGTATCTTTAAAGTGGACTAGAAATAAATCTATCTATCTGACTGGAATCCCTTAAACTTAAAAACCAAACATTCTCTCTGCCTTAATGTCTTCCTCAGTCTTATTTGCAGGTATCTATTTGTCTTTATTTTTGTGGGTTAGGGTTAAAACTCTGGGGTGAGAATGAACTTAAAATAACCTTTGACTTTAAAAACCTTCACAAGCTCTCATCTAAAGTTTCTGTCTAGCTGAATCAAAGTCCTGCTCCTTGTTCAAAGTGAACATCTAGACACCTCATTCCAGCTGAACCCTGCAGCAGTGGCTTCTGTGATTATTACACCTTCAAACAAAGAGGAGGGACTCTCCTGTCTCCCAATTTGAAGCCAAGTGTGCATATCTCTCTCTCTTCTCTTAAGGGGAGGAGCTCAGGGGAAAGATCACTGTGCGTAAAAACAAGAAGGACCCTCGCTCACTGTTCGTCACCTTTGACCTCCGAGACAGGAAGCTGACTTACAGCCTGCAATAAAGACGGCTGTCACATGGTACAACATCCAGCAAATATAACCCACTTTTTAATTGAGCATTCCTGTATTCACATGTTGGAGCAGGATAGAATATAACACTTTGATGTTTCAAATGTTAGGATTGTTTATGTGCCTTGTAATAAAAAAACAATGTATGAGATTTTCTCCTTGTGAGTGTGTTTTATTTGATTACTTGAACATGATCACACATCAGTATACTTTGTTTTTTTTTATTTGCAGGTCAAATGGCAAAGTTAGATTAAAAAGCTCATATGAGGTCGTGGATACAAGCAGCTGAAATGAGTTTCCTCCGTGGGGTGGCTGGGCTCAGCCTTAGAGGTAGGGTGAGGAGCTCGGAGTAGAGCTACTGCTCCTTTGCGTAAAAAGGGGTCTGTTGAGGTGGTTCGGGCATCTGATCAGGATCCTCCTGGGCAGACCCAGAACACGATGGAGGGATTACATATCTCATCTGGCCTGGGACCACCTTGGGGTCCCCCAGGAGGAGCTGGAAAGTGTTGCTGCAGAGAGGGACATCTGGGGTGCTTTGCTTGATCTGCTGCCCCTGCAACCCAGCCCCAAATAAGCCGATAAAAATGGATGGACTGATAGGTTAAAATGTAAGGTTTTCAGATGTCTAGTTTGCATATGTTTTGTTTTAAGGGCATTACAGTTAGTGTTTTTCCACGTGGAGCAGGTCACAGCTGCACATTGAAATGCAGTCATAAAAATGGCATTGAAACAATAGTTAAATGTAACCTAGATGTCATTAAACTGGACTTTTCAATCCATACCTGTGAATAGCCAAAACCACACTTGGCCTACTTAGTGTTTCAGACCACTTTCATCATGCCCCGTCACGCGCATGCATCACTGTGTCATCCAAATATCCAACAAAAGAAAAAGCACTGAGAGGAACTGGCTGCCAGCTCTTTGTTAAACAGATTGTGTGCTTTTGCCAAGTATTTCTCTGAATCTCCCTCCACGTTCTCCTCCTTATTGTCCTACTTTGAGCTACGTGAGATCTCACCGCGGGCGTCATCCATCTTCCATGAGTTTACTGGGACAATACGAAATGAATTTGAGCTTAAAAAAGGCTGACTGAAGCCTCTTTGCATACTTCATTGAGCAGCTCTGCTTACAATTAAAGATTTTTTCCTTCCTTCTCTGCCTGAGATGATGAATCCTGGACTCTGAGGAAGTGTAGCGGCCTGTGAGGAGGAGGAGGAGGAGGAGGAGAAGGAGGAGCAGACTGTGGGGCTGGCTGCCTGTCTTATTGGCGATTTGACATTCACCACTTTCTACTGCTTCAGTGTCCTCTGCCATTATATTAATACAGTCTGGTCTGTGTGCTGACAGCAAACGGGGCTCAAAAGAACAAGCTTTTCTGTGCAGGGAGAGGAAGTGTGTGCATGTTTCTGAAAGTTGTGATGAAAGGAAACTCTCCAGTGGACTGTAGTTGTGTCTTAAATGCCCTGTCAGCTCTTCAACCACAGTCCATTGAGTAGTTTCATTTTATACCTGCTGTTACACCTGGATGGGTGACATGAATCTACATAGGATATTTTTTTGAAACCCTAACATGCAGGATTCCTACATCTCTCATGCTGTGTGACATTTTCTGGTCTTTAAAAACACTTAGAAGATTTATATCTTTTTATATAGCTGACAGAAACTGTTGATTTTGTGGTGCTTGAAAATCTTCAGTGCTTTCAATTAGCTGTCTGTTAAAATAGTGTCACAGGCAGCCATTTATTTCTGAGATGCATAGTGGAAAACTGCATAAAAATACAGTTTTTTAATTTTATAAACCAAGTGTGCCTCATAGCTTATGCATAAGGAAGGTTGTGTATCATCTAACAAGTCAAAAATATGTGCAGCATTTAGCTTTGCTTGTATTTTCCCAAACAGATTCGGATACTTTTACTACGTTTTTAGATGAATAACATTTATTTAGGGCCTTTCTTTGGGCTGGCCCTTGTCTGCCAGCTCTCTGAAAACCTTTTTAAAACTAATTTGCAAACTTAATTGAGTCAGAGCCCTGGAGCTCAGAGAGTTTACCCCATATTCTTGTTTCAAACTAAACCGCTGCATGAAAGGAACAAGCGCCATTTAAAGACAGGCATTATTACTGCAAATACAAAACATGTTAACTGCGTTTTCTGGCAGCAAATGGCCCCTAACTTAAATTGTAAAGGACTGATGATGATGATGATGGGAGCCGTGGGCCCCTGGATGACCCCCTCCGCTGAATCACTGCTTTCCAGGCGCTTCAGATGGATGCGGCTTCTTATCAGTCAGGCGACAGTGGGAGTGATCAATTAATTACACGCGCTGGTGTAATTAACGAGCACGAGGAGACACCGAGAAACCCCTCCGCGAGGCGGTTAGTTCAGCTCCTCGATCAGGACTTAGTCACTGAATTAAAGAAAGGGAAACTAAAATGATTTAAAGCAGGAAACAAAATCAAGAAACCAGAAGGACCTCTTTATTTATTTATTTAAATTTGTCATTTAAAGGTCCGTATGATCGGCCACACGTGGTCTTTATTTTGCTTCACGTGTGTAAAACCCTGCAAATCATGTTCTGCAACGCGCTTCTTTACGCGCGTGTGTGTATATGTCTGTGTGTGCGCGCGCTCACTGGCAGTCCGCGTGCCCAGCGCACTCTGGAAGACGAGCAGAAATCAATTACAATTATTCTCTGTTGACAATGTAATTAAAGTCAAGGCGGCGGCTAACACACCCGCTTCAGCCTCTTATCTGCAGCGGACGGAGATTTACAAGCGGAGGGAGAGCAGCGTGCACAGCGAGTGGACGGCCCCGCGTGGGACTGTGCGTGTCCCGGTGTCACAACACACACTGTGACCTGCTCAGCTGGAGCCACAGCGCAGGTTGAAAACACCACTGGACACTTTATTTTCATGGGCCTGGAGAAAAAAAATAAGAATTTTAATATTGTTTTTATGTCAGTTTGTTAAAGCTGGGGCCTGCAGGGTTTGTGTGAGTGCATTAAAATATAGTAATATAATTTTAAAAAACTATAATGCAGTGCCTTGTTTCAGCTGACAGTTAAACAGGAAAGGGGCGTAAGGGACTGCTCTCTACTTATCAGAGTTACAAATATTTTTCTTTGAGCCTCTCTGACATACTGGCGATACCTGGATGACACTTCCTCCACCATAATTACATTTTTTAAAACTTACACTTAAATGTTTTTACCTTAATAGTTGAAGACAAAATACTGTAGCTGAAAAAAAAGCCCAATTTTTTCACTCTTCCCGTGCATGATGGTTTCTTTTTTTTTTTTTTTTTTTTTTGAGCAACTTGAATTGAGATGTTAGCAGAGAAATTATTCTCTGTTTCCTAGCCAGGGACGACAGATGGAAATTAGCTTATAGCTATCTCAGGTGCAGCTAAGTCCCTGCTAAATAAAATAAATAAATAAATAAATAAATGGATAAGCCCAGATTTTGCAGATGGTGTGTTATAAGACTGTTTGAAATTTGAAAATCCAATGATAATTTTTCTTTTTACAGTTTCAAGCTATAATAAATTATGTGATTTTGCTGATTTTTAAAGGAAGCATGCAGGTTTGGAAGGGCTGTTTTTGTTTTGTTTGTTTTTTAAACCCAACAACATATATTTAAATAGATTAAAATACAGTAAACGCACAAAATACAACCATTTGAATTTGTACACCCCCCTCCCCTAAGCCAAAATGAAAAACATAAGTCCCTCCCCAGTGCTTAAAAATTATTTAAGATACCTCCCCCTTTTTGCACCACCCCCTCCCCCACATATGTAATGAACAGTCCCTAAAGGAAGCTAATTTAGCTATTTGATATTAAAAAAAAACTACTAAAAATTATTCTGACGATGCTGACATCCCACCAGCCGATGTGTATCTCTAATATTTATAATAACAATTATTATTATTATTAACATTATCATTATTATTACTATCATCATCATTATTATTATTATTATGGGCCTATCTGTCCTATGTTCCTCCTGGATTTATGGCCTGTAACAATAGGCCTAGCTAGCCAAACAGCGCGGTTGCTAGGCAACTATCTGGTTATTTTCGTTAACACATTTCTAATTGGCCTGTCAGGTCTGAGATCAGCGTCCAGTGTGCAGCCGCTTTGACTCAGCCAATCAGAGGAGAGGGCAGCAGCTAGTTCGCTTTATTAAGCAGAAGTGTTTCAGTGTAGCTGCAAAGTATCGAGAGTCTGAACATTTGAACCTAAATCAATCACCCTCCTGTGTGTGTGTGTGTGTGTTTGATGTAGTGCAGCCTGTGTGTGTGTGTGTGTGTTGTGTGATGCTCCTCAGTATGGAGGCCTGAACAGTTTATGTTTTTAAAGTTATTCTTAATTAAATGAGGTCACCTGTGTCCTTTTAGCTTTGGGATAAATCCCCTCACACCGGACGTGCAGATGCATTATCCATTTTAAAAGGAGACTTGGAGGATGGTATGCGCAATGCAGTGTTTTAAAGTCTCCAGCATGGCACCTTTCTCCCCTCCGCTGTCACTGCCTCCAGTCCGGGCTCCAGTGGTTGGCTCCGGTTCCTCCTCACACACGTGATTTAAGAAAAAAAGGCCTCCTTCTTGCGTAAGACTTTAACAAATGAGTAGCTTTATGAAGACCTCGCCCACTTAAAAAAAGAAAAAAAATTGATCAATGCTCCTATCGGTGACGCACAAAGAACGTATAGAGCCTGGAGCGCGCCGTGCGTAAAACCCGCCAAGTGGAAAAACTATTTATAGTTCAGACCATTTATAGCTCATAGTCTTTTACAGTCTATACTACCTCTAAAACTTAAGTCTATGTGTGTAGGGTATATTCATACTAATGTTTATAAAGAACAGCAGCTTTATTTGATATAACTTAAAACAACAGTCTATGCGTTTTGATCCATAGTCTAGATTCTGCATTTTTGCAGGCCTGAATGCTGATGACGGAAAAGAGCAAAGGTTTTTTGTTCTCCTAGAAATCAAAAATGTTGCAGACTGCAAGTGCCTCTGTCCCAGGAGTGGCTACTGTAACAGTAACTGTACCAGAGAAACTCAACTCAGCACAGTGCAAACACTATTCAGCCCCGCGTGCACTCTGATGCATCACATCTTCCCCAATAAACCTGGAAATCTTCATCCCAAAACGAGCTGCATGTGCTGGCATGGGATGCGTCCGGGTATGTGTGTAAGCACCCTACACACCCCCAGAGACAAGTGTATTAATCAGCTTTGAAAGAGTCCGTCCAACGCTCACGCATGCCGTGCGTAACCAGAACGCACACAATCCACGCACGCACACACGCGCCCCCGTCGTCTTGGCTCCTGTTGTCCCTTTAAAAATCCGAATCCAAGGCCAATGATTTATCAAACTCCTATTATCAAGAAAATGTCACGCGAAGGGCACCTTGCTCTGCACTGACGCAAACTCCGGTCTTTCCCACGGAGCTATAGAAAAGCTTTGCACTTGGTGCTTTGCGCGGCAACGACCAGTCCGCTCCCAGTCCTCTCTCTGTCTTTATACAGCTGTTCCCAGCCTGCCAGCAGACATCTGCACACAATGGTAAGTGTCCGAGAACATTTTCTTCACTTTTCCACCTTCATTTTCAGATGTTTAGTGAACTTGTTCTGAGCTTTTTCAGGATAATGTCGCACTTTATTTTAAAGGAGTTTGCTCTCTCCGTGGTGCTGAAATGCTGCTGCGTCTCCACATTAGAAACTTTTTCAGCTTCATTCTGTCACCAAACAGCAGCTGTCCTCTTATAGAAGCTTTAAGTCCGAGTTTTTAGAAGTTTAAATGTGAGGGAATATTTCATTGTAGTCCATGGTCGCACTTTTCCTATTTTTTTTATTTTTAATATATTTGTTTTCTATTTGACAGAAACGATTGAAACCAGATTTTTTCCCACTAATTAACAGCCTAACTAAGCATTAATCAATCATCAGTTTTTTAATAGACCCGCACCCCCCTTTTTTTAGATACTGGGGGCTTTTCCGGTTGCTTTCCCGCCCCCCTCAAAGCTACATTTCAAGCAGTCATTTGTAATTCCGCCGCCCCGGGTCCGCTCACTGCTGTAACGCCGGTGATCTTGCATGCCTGCCGGGGAGAGCGGAGCCACCGAGAGACCCGCAGCAGCTTGTCTATTGCCCATAAAAATCAGTGGATGTGTGTGGCTGAATGACATGAGGGGTAAATGGGGCGTAAAATTAAAGAATCTTGCAGAAAGCGAGAACTGGAGAAGCAAAGCAACCCCCCTCCCTCCATCACCCACACATACACACACACACACACACACACACACACACACACACACACACCGGCGCACCCGGTAGACTGAGCTGAAACTATAGAGCAGCCAGAGCCAGAACATGCTGCAGAAAAACGTTGCAGAAAGAGAATTGAGCATTTTTATTCCCAAAGCAGAGCTGGGCTGCAGCAGCCTCACAGCTCCATGGTGTCTGTTGTGTTGCTGATCTGTCACTCCCATGTTCCAGGATTTCTCTGACCAGAGAGAAATGGCCAAACAGCCGGCCAGCGCCAGCGCTCCCACCGGCTACATCCCGGTGCAGCAGCCCGACGGAGCTGCGGGACTTACAACAACCAAACCGGACAACACGGCCGCGTGCCCGCCGCCCGCCCCTCGCCATCACCCGGCGCCTCAGCCGCCGCCTCCCTGCAACGAGAGCAAAACTTTTTGTCCCACGGAAAATAAACCGGGAGATCTGGACAGCAATAAAGCGTATGGGACGTTTAAAAGCACCCCGCCGGCGGCCCCCGGATCCGTGGCCGTCAACTCGGCCTTCAGGAAGGATTCCACCGGCTCGGCCCGCGGGGGGTCCGCCCCGTACGGCGACCCGCTCCGGGCCACTGCAGAGCAGAACAACACCGCGGGCAACTGGACGGCTATGAGCCAGACCACCATCATACTGGGAACAGATGGGAACACGTCTGTTCAGCCCGGCACCGTGGCGGGGGTAAGTCAGCTAAATGAACCGTTTCCTTAACGAAGAGCTGCAGCGGCTGCGTGGAGGCAGGGGCGGTGTGTGGATGTTTCCGTGTGACGCTGATAGGAGAGCTGACTGGATTAACCTGCTGCCTCCAGACAGGGAAGGTGCAAACCCCCGGGAGCTCTCAGCGCCATGCAGAGCTTTAGTAGATCAGTGCTGCTGATGTGTGATGGAGTGAAAGAGAGGGATCGACAGTCTGAGGCTGAGCTGTAGTGTGTAGCTCTTAAAATGTGATCTGGATTGTGTTTTAGTCACTGGACTGTTGTGTTGCAAAGTCAGTCGGATCACTGATTGTGAGACCACAGCATTCACTGATCGTTTATTATCGGGGTGTTTTAAACACAGAAAATTCATCTTAAATGATAAATATTTCCTTCCTGTCTTGATTCAGGCTGCAGGTTATTCCACAAAGCCACAACACAGAGCTTCAGTTACCATAAACAGAGCAGCTAAATTAATGAGGCCATAAATTCTGAGACCAACATGAGCAAAAGCTGAATCTCAGCTCCCTAAGGCTGACTGCTTGCATGTAAAGAGCACCACTTTGGGTGGATCCTGAGCTATTTGGCGTCCCTGCTCTGCGCAGCGTCCCGTCCTGATCCCTCTGCACCAATCTGGTGTGCCATCCAAACTTTCAAACCTGCTTATGTCAGCTAAACACCCGGAAACAAAACGAATCATGAATCAGTGAGATGAATGATCAGAGCGCAGGCTGCGTTATCCCTGAATGAAACAATTTGACTTTCTTTTTTTTAATATATCAACCGATTTCCGGTGATTTGTTCGGCTTGATTTTTGCTCACAGTTACACTGGGTTACATGATTACACACAAACAGGATTCAATTATAGTCTCGCGGTATTTTCGGTGCTCCCTGCTCCCAGCAGACACACTTGGTATGGCCCAGAAGCCCAGGTGTATCCGGCTGATAGACAGCACTGTATTACACCAGACTGCGGATTGTTTCCAATCCCCCCGCGAGGGCTCCCCCACCCCTCACACACACACTCTCTCACACATTCCCATGCATGGTGTTTGTGCTTAATATTCATGCAGCCTCTTTTATGAATGTGCTCAGATCCTGCGGTGCAGGTGTAATTATGTATTTTTGTTAATATCTGCTCGCATTGTATCAGTGGACCATTAACAGTTTTTTTAATCGTTGCACGTGAGATTTAGGAGGTAATTTCAAGCTGCTTGGTGCCAATAATGGGCCTGTAAGTGCAGCTGAAGATGAGTTTTATTCACAGGCTTGTTAGGAAGGAAGCTGGTGCTGATCTCTGAGTGTCAAGGCATCTGTAACCTATGAAATTAATATGGAAGAGAAAAAGCGAGGAAAAAAGGGGGGACAATTTTAAATAAAGAAAATATTTTAAGTTTGTCTTTTTAAATGAAGAAAATATTTGTATTTTTTATATTAGAGTATTCTTTAAAAAAATAGTGTTTTTCATGGTTATTGACTGATAAATCTTTTTTTTTTTTTTTTTTATTAAATTCCGAATTTTTGGGACTAGTTTCCTTGCTTTTATTATTATTATTCCAACAGATACAGTTGGAGTGTAGTGCGACAAGGCTGGGGGGCTTTATTTTGGAGAATAAATTCATGTTTCTTCCTCTCAGGCTGACGATGATGACGAGGTGGGAGATGAGAATAAGGCCAGAGGAAACTGGTCCAATAAACTGGATTTTATTCTGTCCATGGTGGGCTATGCGGTGGGACTGGGGAACGTGTGGAGGTTCCCTTATCTTGCCTTCCAAAATGGTGGAGGTAAGAGCTGTGGGTCAATGTTTTATTTTTTAGTTTCCCGACATAAAAAACAAACGAAAAATCTGTTCAGAAAATGCGAATTTTGTTTTCTTCCAATGATAGGCGTTTAACCAAACAAAAATACTACATTAAAATATTTTTTTAAATAGGTAAAACACGCGAGACTTTGTTTAGCCTGTTTATTTTCACATTAAAAACGAAAAAAAGATAAAATAAAGAAAAAATGCAATAAAATAATGTATTTACATTATTGAGGCTGCTGTGAAAAATGTCACAGTTGATAATAATATTCCTAAAATCAATAGTAACAATAATTGTCACTGTTATTATTATTATTTGTAGTAGTAATTTGTTCAGCTCTGCTCGAAGCCATTTACAGATGTTTTTTTACTCACGTGTTATGTTTAAATATCAGCAGATGAGACGCAGACACGAGCAGGCTACTTGTATATTAATTTCTATTTTATTTCGATATCTATAAATGTTAGTTTCAGGCTTGTGTGGCTCTTGGACTGTGCTCTGCAGCCTGCTGTTTCGTTTCCTTGCAGGAGCTTTTTTGATCCCCTACCTGACAATGCTGGGCATTGCCGGCATCCCAATCTTTTTGCTGGAGGTGTCCCTGGGCCAGTTCGCCAGCCAGGGGCCCGTGTCCGTGTGGAAATGCATCCCAGCTCTGCAAGGTAACCTGCCACAACTAACCAAGTCAAATACAATTCAAAAATAAATTCACAAATAAAACTCACTTGTTCTCATCACGAGCTCTCTACTTTTCTTAAGAGTAATTTATATATTTCGTCTCATTTATTTATTTTAGGTTGCGGGATTGCCATGTTGATAATATCTGTCTTGATAGCCATATACTATAATATTATAATGTGCTGGACACTGTACTACCTGTTCGCTTCGTTGAAGGGCTCACTACCATGGGCTAACTGTAGGAATGAGTGGAACACGGTGGAATGTAAGGACAAAGACATGCTGCTGTTAGGTAAGACACACACCTTCACACAGACACACACACTCAGACACACACACACACACACATACACCAAAAGAACCTCTCTCTCTCCACAATGCGCAATGCGTCATGACTCCCTCAGCTGAGGTGTCCTGCAGTATAATGAATCCTGACCTGTGATCTCTGCGGTGTTCTCACTCCCAAAAACACTTTAAATCCTGAGCAGTTATTTGTGATAAAACAGGCCAATGAAATGCAGCAGGGCCTCAGTCTGACTGATTACACTCAAACAAACATTTCATATATTTTTTCATCTTCTGATGTGTGATAAGTCAGATTTTTATCCTCTAAAGCTGCAGCAAACAGCTGGAGCACTCTGATTTTTAATGAAACTGACTGAAATCATGTTTTCACTGTGAGAAAATGTGCCAGCAGGGCCACGGAGGTGTTTGACGTCGACCTGTGTCGAATGAATATCGAAATTCCGTTCATTTGGTGAAATATTTGCCTTTAGCGATTCTGTGAATTCAGCACAAAAACTGCTTGCTTGACAAATTTACTGTACAGGCTGAGCTGCTGCAGTGCTGCAGTGCGCCCGAGACTGACCCCTGCCGGCTGACACACGAACTGCAGGTCCATTCAACACTGTAGTCTCTCTAACACTCTCTCAGCCTCGTAGAGGAGCAGGGACATATGTGGAAAACATAGGTGTAGATTTCAGGATGGGACCCAGGGGACACATCCCTCTCAATATTTACAACATGTGCATTTGAACCTCCAAAACATTAAGACATTTACACCATAAATAGAGGCAGGAAAATTGATAAATGGTGCACAAACATCACCAGAATGCAGGAAATTAAGTTTGAAGTTTGATAGTGTTTGATGCTCTAAATTTTCTACCAGAGGACCCAGCTGTTTTATATGTGCCGCCCCAAATTGTTGAAATTAAACCTGTGTCGTCGGAGGAAAATAATATATAAAGCATAATTATATAAAGTAGTAAGAAAATCTGCTGGTGACAATTTTGAATTAAGCAATTATGCAACCTGTAATATATTGTTGAATGATAAAATGATATGAACATGTTTTCATTTGGATATTCCTGCAAAAAAATATAATTAATATTTGTTTTTTGTTTTTTTTATTAAGACTGTAAATACACAAGGTTTAAAAAAGGAATTTAATGCTACAGTACCAAAGAATATGACCATAAAAATACATCTTTGTGACACAAAAATGTTTTTTTTTTTGTGGCCATATTCTTTGGTACTGTAGCATTAGATTCATTATTTAAACCTTGTGTATTTACAGTCTTGCTCTGCCTGTGAGTGGCTGAGTCCTTGTTTTGTTAAAGATAATATTCAGAAAGATATTCAGTCAGTATTTTGTCCTTAATTTAGAAAACAAATGTGCAAAGCATCATGTTTTCTGCATTAAAACCAGGTTTAAAATAATGTAAGTCATATTAAAAAAGAAGCATAAAAAGCTCTTCACACTTGTTCTGATGTGTCTGCATGAAAAATTGTGCAGTCAAAGGAAAAACAGGTTTTCTTATCTTATCTGTCCCAGAGTATCTGAAATGAGGCAGATTCAGTATAATCATTTCTCTTATTCACATCTGGCTATATATCAAAAAGAACAAAAACACAGTTGGGTTCAGCTCTCACTGCTGCTGTCTCCAGATCAGCCTCTTCCCCCCAAATCAGATCCATCCGTGTATTCGCTCCCACTTTGCTCTCAGTGTGAGACCCTGAGCACACAGCGAGCTCTGTCCCACAGCAGCACTCTGCCAGTCTCTCCCAGTTGACGTGTGTTGGTTTCTGATTGGAACAGACGCGTGCATCCTGCGGGACAGAAACATCACCTCCATCAAGAACTCCAGTTTCTGTCTGTCCGCAAACGCTGTGGGAAACCTGAGCAAACTGATAAACATGACTGTGGACGGCAACAAGACCTACGTCAGCCCCAGCGAGGAGTACTTCAAGTGAGTGGAATGGAAAAAACACTTATAGTAGAATTTAAATTCAATAGGAACCTGTGCAGTTTTGTCTACAATTTAAATCCATAGATAAGATATAAAATCTGATATATTTTTTAGCTACTCTCCTCATGCAGATGTTCGGCTTTTTAGGGCCTTTAAAACTGTTTCACCCGGCAGCAGTGAAAGGTTTCTTGGCTTGATCATAATGATAATAATAGTCAATGTTTTAAAGGTCTCAACAGAGCCACGTGTCAACAATTTTGGTCTAAAAGAGGACAAATAAATCTCAAAATTTAACACACACACAAAAAAATCACCAGAATCAGAGAGAGCAGTTTCACCTGATCATGTTCTGCAAATAAATCTTTGATATTTAATATTTATTTTGAACGTGTAAAACAAAAAAAAGACATGAACATATGAATAAGCTGACAGACAGAAAGAAAGTAATATTTACAAGTAATGAAAAACATAATGAAAAGCAGTAGTCAGTGTGTTAGTTTGATTTACACAATCGAAAAGAAGTGGGCGGAATAAACTTATTAAATTCCATCAGTCATTGAGCAAAATGAAACAGACAGCTTCCTTATATAGATAAACCTATACCTACAACTTCTTCTCTTAACACAAGAACAAAAGTCAGCCATTGCAATAAAGGTATTCATGTTTATTTCCAACAGAACTCAATAAAATACAAAACAAATAAAACCTCTTTCAGTTACAATCAATAAATGTGTAGCAGTCTCTCGAATGAGACAGAAACCCTCTGCAAAAGAAAAATAAGACCTGATCACATATAAGTTCTATAATCAACGTGATTTGTGTCGGAAACTGGTTAAATAATAATTAAAAATAGTAATGATAATAGTACTCCCTCGATAGGAAATACAATGAAGCATTTTCAGTGCACAGATTTCTGTTGTATCCATACTGCATTGTGCTCTAGTTTACTGAGATGTGTTTTGCTGTTTGAATCACACCCGCAGGTACAATGTGTTGCACATCTCCAAAGGAATCGAATATCCAGGAGACATCCGCTGGCCTCTGGCAGGCTGTCTGCTGCTGGCCTGGATCATCGTCTACGCCTCTTTAGCCAAAGGAATCAAGTCATCCGGAAAGGTAACAACACACAAACTCCTCACAATCAAAAACTGTGGGTGATTTAAGTTCTGTGTTATCTTATTTTTTTCCCTTCAGTATGATGTGTCACAAATAAGAAGTGAACCCTGCTGGTCCTAAGCAAGGGAACCACTCATGTTTAAATTGAACCGCCCTTGCTGTTACCTAGGTTGGGTCCTCACAACTTACTTTGAGTCACCAAAATACCCAGATTCATTCATGTTTGAAATGTACTTTTTTAATGTAGGCCCATGTGGGAAACCGTGATTTGTATTTCTTTAAATGTCTTTGTTTAACTTTCTGTTCTGACATATAAACTTATAGCGTGTCTTAAATTGGTTGAGTACATAAGAAAAGTTCTTTATAACCTAAGAAGTTGTTCATGGTGGATGCAATAACGTAATGCTTTTGCTGGAAGGGAAGAGAAACTGGAGTACAGGATTACATGACTCTCCCTGTATCACTCCAAACTGGAACTTTGGTAGACATGTTTCATCTGGGCACGTTGTCGAGCTAATTTACTCCCTTGATTGGTGAAAGACAACATGCAATATACAACATTTTACTTCATACTGATTGCGCCCAGGATTTAGAGATTATTCAGATTGAATTCTTTTATAATGTTGCCCTCTGCTGGACACAGACGTGACACACACACTGTGTTAACATTTGGAGACCTCAGCTGCAGCGGCAGAAATGACCTGACAGCTCTGACTTGGTGTGATGTGTAATGCTGCATGGCCTCATGGGGGGCAGCATTTCACCAGTTTACTGCTGGCTCAAAAAAAAAAAAAAACAGTCCACTACTAACCAACAGCTGAGCAAGAATTCACAAATTTGGCCCTGACAAAATAACACTGCTGTCTTATGATCTTAATGTTGGGTGTCTGCCAATAGTTTATGCAAGACCATAGAAGAAGGAAAAGATTCACATCAAAACCATGTATTAACACTTTTTGGAATATGGTTTGTGTTGTCATTAGTTGCTCTACATCAGGGGTGTCAAACTCATTTTAGTTCAGGGGCCACATGCAGCCCAATTTGATCTCAAGTGGACTGGACCAGTAAAACCATCACATCATAACGTGTAAATAAGAACATCCCCAAATTTCTCCCTCTCATGATATGATCACAATAAGTATTCATTGACTTTTCAGAGACCTGTATTGTGGTCGAGCTGAAAAATCTCTGCAGCAGCATTTTCCCTAAAGCAGACTAGTGACTGTTTAACTTGCTCCTAAAACCTGACACCTCTTATCTTTGATGACTGTGTCACTATTTGGTGTGCAAAGTCATCTAGTGGGCTGTATGGGACCCTTCAGCAGGTCGGTTTTGGCCCCCCGTATGTTCAACACCGCTGCTCTAAGGATATGTTTCCCTTATAACCAGCGTTAGATACTTACCAATTTAATAGGAACGTTATGTGCCAAGACCTGTCTCCATCGATGCAAATGTTTTCTCTTGTTTTTATATCACGTCTTCACATTATTCAGGGGCTGTAGCTCTACTGTTTTGTCCTCTGATGGTGGGTAGACTAGATGCTACAGTGACCCACTATCGCCTCTTGAGGTACAAGTGGTATTACAAGACAAGATGGGCCAGGGCTAGCTCGTTAGCATGCTAATTTCAGTAGATATCTGTGCAAGACAATATAAAGACGTCTTTGGCAAAATTCCTCACATTCTGTTCATAACAATAGTTCATTTGTTTTGGATGATTTAAACTAAAATTCTGGCCATATCTTTAACAATGCACCTTTAAACCTGTAGTAGGTAACTTTTATTAAAAATAACTTAATGAAACTGTCAGTATATTCACACAGCACTAAATCAGACAGATAATCTGTGAAAAAAAACCTACTCTATTGTGGTAGTGCTTCTAATGCCCTTACCATGTGAACAAAAACAACCAATCAGAGCAGAGGTGTCTCTGAACCAGCAGGCAATGACCTCAATCACTCTGTGAACTGCAGTCAAACTGTCAAACTAGGCAGCGCCGATCAAATATGAATCAAGAATCTGATACTGCATTGCCTTTTTCTCACCCTGAATTTAGTGTACTGTTTAGCTGTACAATGAGGAAGTCATTTGGAGCAGTGGGCAGTGCTGGGGTGGACTGTTTCCAACATGGCGGCTGGGTCACAAGCTTTCTCATTTCAGAAATAAACAGAAACTAAAATATGTTTCTTAAATAATATGAGGTGAGAAATAGGCAGTGGAGTTACAAAATCCTGCTTCATATTTTATCTGCACTACCTGGTTTGACGATTTGACAGCAGTTAACGGAATGATTGACGGCTGCATAACAGACTCCTCGGTTCTGACTGGTAGTTTTTGGTGCACCTTGGTCGATTCTAGAGAATGCTATTAGAGGCAGTTGGAAGAGGAGGAATTACATGGTTTTCTTCTTTCAGAAAATAGTGACAGTTTCAGCAAATATGACACAAAGCTACATTTATTGAAGTTTGCTTTATATTCGTGATCTTGTGATCGTAATCTATAATGTGTGGAAAAAAATCCAGCCTAGAAGACGGTGTCACTGTGAGAAGGATGACAGAGACGTGATGTTCTTTTTTTTATAATTCAAATTTGTATCTATCCATTCAGTCAAACTGAACAAACCAACAGTATTGTTATTGAAGCTCAACATAGCCACAGACATCTGGTTGCTTCACATTCATGTACCCATAAAAGTAATTTAGCAACCACAGCGGTACAACTTAACACCATATGGTTAGAGGTCAACAGACATTACAAACAAAAAAGTCTGCCCATGACCTTAAAGCTTCCAGGTTCACTGCTGACCCTAGCTAACATGTGTTTATATGACACAATCTCTCACACAGATTCCTTTCATTTTTCAAAATCTCGAGGCGATGTATTTTTCCGGAATCTGAGGATCACTCGAGCAGCTGTGACGACACCACCATAATTTCATACTTTTAAAAAATCTGTTTGGTCCCTCATTAGGCATAACCTTGGTGATTTAGTTCCCATTGTTGTTTATTAAATAGCGATGATGTGAAGGTGATGAAGGAGACTCCGCTGACACCGTCTTGCTTGTATATAGAAAGGTTTATTACAAGACGTCCAGCATCAAATCAAACACCTAGGATTGCCTGAAAGAGGGTTCGAAGCCAATATGAACTGCTCTGAATAACAGCTCCAACTACCCTGCCTATATAGGTTGGTAGTTTTTGTCAACTTTGAGACAAAATGAGACAGGTGACAGAGAGACAATCTAGATGGAATCCAATCTTTCAACCTAGCTTATCAATCCTTGACCTGGGCCATAATAAATTCTTGACCTGGGCCCCTAACTGATCATATCAGACCCAGGACATCAAATACCATGTAGAACTTCAGATACTACACCATCATACCCAACAACTTCCCTATGTGATCTACAACTTTTTCCCACAATGGGTTAACCAGTTTACATCCCCAGATTGCATGTAGACATGTTCCTGTTTCTGTCAGACACTCCACCATAAATTATCCGCCAGTAGAACCACCCTGTAAAGCTTAGAGGGAGTAAAGTCAAACCTATTAGTTAATTTATACTGACTAAATTTCCCCAGTGTCTCATTTATATATTTAGATGTGATGTTCTTGTGTCACAAAGCTGCTCTGCTTCAGGAAATAATCCCTCACAGTCATGTTGCCTAAGAAACTTAACTTTCAGTTCATATGCAGACTTTTTGTAATAGCTAGATCTAAATTTGGGTTTGACGCTTTAACAACTGTACTAAGAACAGCATAAAAAAGAAATGAAAAATAAAAAGAATATGGCATACACTGCAGAAAGGGAGAGATAAAAATGACACGTGAAGATAAGTATCCAGACTCTAAAGAATAAAAATAGTCTCTTTAAAGAGCCTTTAATTTCCACTGTATTGATTTCTTAGGATATGCTGTACAGATGTGCCTTTTGAGACAAATTTTTAATTGATGAAATTAGGCAATAAAAATAAAACTGCTTTGGCTATATATAGTCGTTATATTTTTGTGTCTCCTTCCTCCTCTCTGCTCAGGTGGTGTATTTCACAGCCACATTTCCCTACGTGGTGCTGGTCATCCTGCTCATCAGAGGAGTGACCCTCCCTGGTGCCTTCGACGGCATCCTCTACTTTATCACACCAAAGTGGGAGAAACTGAACGATGCAAAGGTACCTGACACCTGCTCTTCAAACTTAACCATCATGTGTCTTGCACTGTTTGTCCCTTCCTGCTCCTTACCTGCAGCTCCCCCTCTCCTCCTCTGACAGGTGTGGAAAGACGCAGCCACTCAGATCTTCTTCTCTCTGTCGGCTGCTTGGGGAGGCCTCATCACTCTCTCCTCATACAATAAGTTCCACAATAACTGCTACAGGTAAACACACAAAAGGTAAACCATGCTTCTGGCAGACACATTCAAACTGTCACTGTAGACACACTGTTTGTCTGATAGACATGTCAGTAATAAATGTCACTCTTTGCAGCCAGCAGTGTTTCTTTCATTTCAAATGATCATGAACATTGTACAATTTAAAGCACTACGCCCCCCTGTGTTCACCCTCTGTAAATGCTTAACACATTTAGAGCCCTCTAAATGCAGTATTTAGATCAGCCACGAGATGGTGCCATTGCATCTCTTATCTGTGTGTGCACAAGCCAGTGATGTCTGTAGCAAATAACAGAGCAATATTATATTAAATAGCACTTGTTATATGTAGCATGTTTTGAATTTTGCTGCACAATTTCCAACACTGAATCAGGCATTTGCTTATTTAGCTCCTGTTTCTGTCTTTCCTCTTTTGCCCTGCAGGGATACTATTATTGTGACATGTACAAACAGTGCCACCAGTATATTTGCGGGGTTTGTCATCTTCTCGGTCATTGGTTTCATGGCACATGAGTTGAAAGTGCCGATAGAGAAGGTGGCAGATGAAGGTAAGATACCACAGCAGCAGGCGGCAGCAGCAGCAGTAGACCGGCGCTGCTCACTTCAAACACACCTGAAAGTTTGAGCTTTGTATCTGCCGCTGAGATGGTGTGTGCATCCTAATTTACATCTGTGTGTGTGTGTGTGTGTGTGTGTGTGTGTGTGTGTGTGTGTGTCAGGTCCAGGCATAGCGTTCGTGGTGTATCCAGAGGCTCTGACCAGACTTCCACTGTCTCCTTTCTGGGCGATCATCTTCTTCCTCATGCTTCTGACTCTTGGCCTGGATACCATGGTAACCACTGCTCCTTCAGTTTGTGTGTGTGTGTGTGTGTGTGTGTGTGTGTATTGTATGTCTACACACTTTCACTCTTAAACTGTTGTTCAAAGGTTAAGAATGGCCTGCCACAGTAGCTTGATTGGGTCCAGTCAGATGTCTAAGAGGACTTTATATTTTCAATTGGCCTTTGGTGCTTTTAGGTTGTCGAGAGTTCGCTTGACAAATAGATATGATTTTGAATGAAGGTTTTGTTTTGTACATGGAGAGCAAAATGCTGTACAATAGTTCAACCAGACTGACAACTGAAAGGGCAGACAGAGACAAAGATCACTCTGAGCATCAGCTTCAATAAGAATAGAAGAAATCAGCAGTCACTAGTAAAAGACACTGAAAGCTCAGCATCAAAATGTGTGCAAATGTATTCAGGAACAGGTCCTGTGACAGTGTCAAGTGCACAGAAATGTCTGTAACAAGCTCTTCTTCACTCTTCACAACAGAAACAGAAGGTGACATTAGAGTTAGCACTGCTAGAACTGGATCAATAAATATCAGCTGAACATACTGTGGCTCCCAAAATATTTACAGCACCGTTGTGGCACCTCTGCTTCTCTGGACTAGTAAACAAATTCGAACTCAAGGGTACTTGGGGGAAAAATGCTTCCAGCAGTATTCTCCTTTGTCATGCAACGCAGTGGGGACGTCGACTACATGGAAACTTTAATCATTTAACTTCTTTTGGGGACCCAAATTATTTCAAAGTAAACAATGTATTTGATATCTGACTCTGACGATCAGTTTAAATTGATCTTTCCTGTAATCATGGCTATTTTAGAGATATAAACTGATCGTCAGAGTATGTGACTCCTCATATAAGGATAATCTTCCAGAACAAAGACATTTTACAGATCTTCACTTTTATAAGTGCCAGCTTTAAAGACACCATTGAACATTTAGGAGTTTAGCTTGTTCGGAAAAATTCAGCACTACGATAAATACATTGTCATTTTAGCCAGATTAATGGCATGTTCCAGGCAACCCGCAACTCGTGTTTTTACAACCTTCAACCCATGAAAGTGCACTGGAACGTCAGTCAAACCCGTAACTTTCCACCAGTGAACTCGTACCAGATCGATGTACTCCCAGTTACGCTCTCTGACGTCACACAGCCCTCTAAACCAATTACCTTACTCCTCTAAACAACAATGGCAGCCCCACTGATGTGGTGTTGATGCAAGTGATACACGGTGAGAAATAGATAAAAAATAACCCTAATGTTAATGCATTATTGGCGGCCGCGCTAACAGCTAGTTTCCAGTGCAAGAATAAATCAATACAAAATACATTTCCCAAAACACAGATAACGTAAAATAAAAAGTATAATAGCATCTGTGACCTTATGCGCCATTTCTCCTCCTCCGTTTCACTCAAATGAGCAAGGAACCGGCACCTTTGGCGATAGAAGTGATCATACACGAACATAAACCCGGCATGGTCCGCCATGTTGCTTTGACAGTTTGGCGTGACTTGCCTGGAACACTATGAAGTCATGAGTCGTGACTTGAAGTGGTGACTTACGGGCTCAGAAACTTGCCTGGAACGCATCATAAGATGAGAAAATAACATAAATCCAGGGGATGATTGGCCTAATTTAGCATAATGAATGAAAGCAGTGGGATCTGTTAGCCTAGCTCTGTTGACTCCTTTTAACAACTTGTTTTTAATATATAGGACATGTTTTGTGTTGTTAGCTGCTGAGCTAGCCTCTAATCCATCCAAGAGTCAGCTGGGTTTTGTTCATAGTAGGTCGAAAGGAAGCGTCGACAGGAATGACACTGCATATAGTGAACGGTTTCCAGTGGTTGTTTGTTTAGAAATAGCTTCTGTGGTAACGCTAGCTGCTCATACATCCACATTGTCTTCTTTCGGCACATAAACAACATGAAAGACAGTATTGGGGTTGTTGGAAGGTGTATTGGTTTTAACTTGTGATATGGCGAGGCTATCAGGTACCTCCTGCTTTCAGTCTTTGTTCTGAGCTAGACTAAACACCTGCTGTACCTGCCTGTGTCATGAATGCACAGAGATGCAAGTGCAACTCAATCACCAGAAAAAAATGTTGGCTGTACGTTTCTGCAACAAGGATACGTCACATTTGCACATTATCATGTAGCCCAGTGGTTCCAAGCTGGTGGGTCACGGTCCAGAAGTGGGTTGTGGGTCCATTCTGGACGGACCGAGTCAAGTTTGTAAAAAACTTTAAAATATTATTTTGAAGCACAGTGAATTTTTGGCACAGAGCTTTTATTTTGAAGTGCCATTTCCTTCTATAGAGTTAGTGACAAACCAATAGGTACTTGACAGAGACAGCAACTAGCTCAACAACATGGCCAAACACAAGTATGACAATGAATGTTTTAAACTGTGTGGACCTAGAAGTAATGACTCAGGGGAAATCTGGACCCAGTGGCTGGATCAGTTGGAAACCACTGATACGTTGAAACTTTATGTTTCAACAATGCCGTGGTTACCTTGTGGTTCGGATAAGGCACAAAAACCACATGGTCATGGTTGGAAAAAGATCATGCTATGGCTAAAAATAACCAGTCTGGGGGGCATAATAATGTCTCTGTACAAAGCAACCACTTGTCATGCCTAAAAAGCAGCTGGAAGCACAGCAATGACTTCCTAAATCACAGCTACTTTTGTTGTTTGTTGGTCTTGAACAGTGGTCTGCAGCTTGGCAGGCATCTTACCCAGGTGTCACACCATTCACCATCTCCTCCAACTCTAGATAACAAACTCAGCTCAGTATGAAATGTGCAAATGTAAGATATTTGTAGTTTGCAGAATGGTAAAATACTAACATTTTCTTCTGGTGACTGGGCTGGAAAGTGATATCAATCCTCCTGTCGGAATGTGGGCAAGACAAGAAAGCAAATCTGCTTCCTAAAGTAGTGACTCTTATTTGCCACTTGGGGGCAGAAGAACTCCACAATGCCTCGTCAAACCTATAACCCATACTTACACATCTAACAGATACAGCAACAGTATTATCACACTGGAGTTGAGTTACTGATGAACTGAGGGACAACACTGGATCTTATTTTATCTCTGGTTTGGTCTCCACTTACTCCGAAGAAAAACATCTGGCTCATGAGTTGCTATGTTTTATACTTTCTTCACCAGCTATTTACTAAATGTGTTTGGTTCTAGTTTCAGTGTTGTTTGGTGCTGGGCAGGTCGTGTACAGCCGGTCCATTAGGGCATTTTTCTAACAGCAGCTGCCTGGTGCTGAGTATTGCCTGGGTAGTGAGGATGAAGAACACTGAGACTGAACCAAACAGTAATTTTTCATAAGCACCTTAAGAACATGATTTTCCTTTTAAGGGTTAAGATTAGTCTTAGATCAGAGCAGGGTAATACATATTGTCTCTTTTCCAGATTATTGTGCATATTTCTAGAAGCAATTCTTTTAAAAAAAATAGAGCTGTTTCTCTTGTGGCTGCTGTGCCACACAGTCTGCTGATGAAGACCTCTTAGGTTTCATAACATCAGCAACCTTTATGTCAGTAACGAGAGTCTCAAAGTAAACACTCAACTTTGGTGTCGGCATCCAGCTATGTATAAATGCTGCGAACACTGACCCAATTAACATAATTACCCATACACACCACCCACTGTGACTGATTTCAGCTCAAGTGCTGGAGCTCTCCAGATACTTGAGCAGAAGGGGGTCTGTGTGATTGAAGTGAGTGAAATTAAGTTGACCTTAAAGTTTTGCAACAACAACACTGAAGTAAATCTAAGTTTAAGTACAATTGAAGTACATTTAAAGTCGGGTTGTTCCAGCTTCTTAGATCCAACCGTGAGAATTTAAAGACAACACCTTGGACTGTGGATGATGAGCATTTATCACTATTTTATAGATTATAGACAAGATTAATTTTTCTAAGGCTTGAGGCCTCAGATGTAATGTTATATATGCATGGAGCCTTGAGTGTGCCACCAGAATATTTATAGACTTTAACAGCATGTGTATTCAATTAATTAATTAATCAATGAGAAAAAGCTGTTCTCAATTTACTGATGAAATACAATTAAACAGTACACCAAGAAACTCATTTTAAAAAATGAAGATAATCATTAAATCACTATTTCCTTATTCTTCCCTAAGATTATGAATTACTATTTGCACTTTAAAATGGAATCACAAAAATACATTTTAAAGGACTTTTAAATGCTGTTTTTCTCAATAGTTTTGCCCTAAAAATATATTAAAACCCACAGAGACTAATCATCAAATCTGCAGTTTCTTTCAGCTGTGTGGAGAGTTTTAGGGTGCTTTCACACCTACCCTGTTTGGTTCGGTTAAATCAATCTCAAATTCATTTGTTTGGGTTAAACATAAGCATGTTACAGTCCTGGAGGATTATTAATGTGCACCTCCTCCTGTACTGCCTTAATATGCACATTCAGCACATCCAATGCATCAAAACATTGTTTTCTAGTTGGAGCCGCGCCTCGTTTTCAAACTGTATGGTTTGACTAAAATGAACAATGACAGCAATATAGTCCACGATGAACAGCGCTAAAAACAACCTGCGTAGTTGTCCCTCCATTGTGACATTAGAAAGTGTCACATTTATCTTGCAAGTGTACTCTTCTTCAACGTTTGCTTTACTTACTGGATTTTTCCCACATGGAAATTCTGACCAATCAAGAGCAGCTTTCTCACACAAGGCATTTGATCTGGTCCGCTTGTAAATGCAGCCGTGAGAACATGAACCAACTCTAGGCAATTATACAACCTGTGTGATAAATCCACTGTGCAAAACCTGCTCCGGACCAAACAACAAATATACAAAGTTAGCAATTAGCTAATGGAGCATGGAGCATTTGGCAGCTAAAAGGTCATCGCGTAAAAAACTACAACATAGGTTGATGGTGCAAGTAGAGCCATACTTACGTTTTTTATTGTAAGCTGCGCCCTCTAGTGGCTGTAGTAATTATTACAGGAGCAGAGGAAGAAGTGATGTGATGTAGCATAAAAAGTGACAAATAATGTACAAATATAAAAGAAGCCTCTAAATTGTGAGTAGGAGGGGACATGGATGAGTCAAACAAACACAGGACTTTCACACCCAGGCGACCGGCATTTGCATCCGTATGTCACGGACTTCTTTTAACAACAACGAACTCTAGTATGCTAGTATGTGTAGCATGCTACACTAGTAACATATGTTATATGTCATATGTGACAGTACATTAGTGACAAAAGTACTAGTAGTAGTAAAAGTAAAACCAGCTGGCCAAAAAAATAAATAAAATCAGCTTATACACTCTGTGTGTTTTATGTTGTCCTGTGTGCTCTCCGTTATTATACATTCATGGTTTTCCTCCATTTTAGGTTTGAGTAACGTTCCTTAAATGACCTCGCTGCGGCCTCTTCTGCAGTGGCATCCGACTGGAATTAGCGCCACCTACTGCTTATCTTGATTACCCAACTCCCAATATTCACATTACAGTAGTGTATGGGAAAAACTCATACATTTGCATTTTCTTTTGCAGATTTTCTGAAATTTGTTTGCACTATATTTGGATGGACACCCAACTACTTTTGACCCGACTCCTGTTTAGAACCACCCATGCACCGCTACACTTCTAAGTTACAAAACTCTAATTGTGTCAAGTGCTGCACTGATTAATTCCTGATGTAACTTCAGTGAACAAACACTTCAATCTCCGGGATGTTTTCAAAGTCCAGAGCACCTCCAGATACAATCCTGGGCAAACAATTCCAGATAAAACATCAGCTCCTTTAAGTGCACCATGACGCTCCTGAGCCGAGCAGAGGAGCAGAGGGCACAGCGGCGCATTAAGACACAAGTCAACAGTAACAGTAAATGATGATGTTACTTTGCCTTGGCAGCGGCGGCTCCGAGGAGAGGGCTGGTGGCTTTGTTGTAGAGAGCAGCTTGGCGGTAATAGGCTTGGGATGTTGACGGGAAATTAGTTTTGGGAGCTCAGGAGGAAGTAGAGGAGTGGAGAGGAGGCAGATCGCTCGGTGCCAGTGGGTTTCTAAAGCACGCACGCACGCACACATACACAAACTATACCAACCTCGCTCAATTTGCCTGTTAACATATTCATCCACTGCTGTCCTTTGGGTTCTGAGCCCATTTTACCATCATGTTACATTTGCTAATGAAATCTCCTCCTCCTCAGGATTAGGGTGATGTTCTTTATTTGTTTGGAAATAAATGAAATTACGGTAAAAATGTGTTTACTGAGTGAATTGGAGACAAATGCCTCACAACACTGGATACTGAATTCAGACAGCAGCAGCTGCTCTGAGTCAAATGAGGCAAATCTGCTGACTGGAGGCTTTTTAAGTGAAGACGCTGCAGCAAACTGGGCTGATTGGACAGTGTTTAGTATTTCTTTAGTGGAGGCAGCCAATCAGGATCTATGGTGACTTGTTTCAGAGTTAACCTTTGAACTTTTTAAGTTTTCTTTTGACAATTTAAAATAATTTATTTGATTTTTTGTTACTTTTGAGGCAAAATCAATTTGAGCTGTGTCTTGATTAAACATCTTTCATCATATGTGTGATTAAAGCTGGAAAAAAAATACTTTTCCCTCCCTTATCCCCTCTTCTCTCCCCTTTAATTTTTTTCTCTGGCTCATTTCCCTTCCTCCCCTCTTCCTCCCACCCAGTTTGCCACCATTGAGACCATCGTAACCTCAGTGTCGGACGAGTTCCCCAAATACTTGAGGAAACACAAACCGCTCTTCACCCTGGTCTGCTGCATCTCCTTCTTCATCCTGGGATTTCCCATGATCACAGAGGTACGACATGACAACACATCTATATACACACCGATGCAACCCCTCACCCCCAGGAGACACTTGAACATTCTCCCCGCACCCTGCGACTCTTTCTGTGAATAAGCCGACAGATTTCTGCATGTAAAGCGAAGTTGCGGCCTTCAGAGGACAGGCTCAGTGAGTGGAACAAGAGAGGCTGAGTCTTATTAAAATCCCCCCCGACAGCTTCAGAGGGGAAAATCCAGCCTAAAGTAGGATTCATACATGTCATTTCTTTTGATCTGGTACAAGTCAGTGTGAAAGTTATGACCATGGACAAGCCAGAGGTGGGAAAAAAGGAAAGGGATGAAGGGGAGGGGGTGTCATCATTAGATGAAGCTTTGGCTGGATTTGTAATATTTAGTTTGTTTGTGTTTGTGACAGAGCGGGATGTTCATGCTGCAGCTGGTGGACACATTCGCAGCCTCCTACTCTTTGGTCATCATTGCGATTTTCGAGCTGGTGGGGGTTTCCTACCTCTATGGTGAGTACAACTGATCCTGTTTCATCTCATGAGCTTTGAGCTAAAAGACAGAGTCTGAAGCCCTGCCAGCAGCCACTAGAGGCTGTGATGTTAATGTTACATCCCACAACATGAAAATGAACAAACAACACACTGACGTCATTATTCTTGTCTCTCTGAGAAGCATCTACCTATAGTAGCTGTCGGTTACACATCCCCAGTTTTGAGAAGCAGACAGGAGTGCTGCCAATGAAGCCAGTCAGTGTGCGGCTGTGGACGAGGGCAGCAGCAAAATGTATTTAGAAAGAATAAGCATCAGTTTAAGAGTACACTGTGGTTAGAATATTTTCACAGCTTTACCTTGCCGTCAGACCGCCTTTTCTAATGAGGAACTGAAGCTACTATACCCATCTGTGCTTTCATCAAAGCCACTAGACTCCTTTGACTAATGAAGCTCAGCATACGTTCAATCAGGAAGACTTCCTTTATGCCATATCCATTTCACAGTTCTCCCTCTATCCCATTCCTACCACTTCCACCGATCAGCTGACTATGGGCGTCCTAACTGTCTTTGACTTTACCACCTTCCTGGAAGAGATGACATCACGGTGGGGTCTAATCGCCAAAGACTTTTCATATTTCTCATACTTATATGCACATGTAAATAAATATTCTTTTCTCTCAAGATTGCCAAACAGTAATTTTACCTTGCAGAACATGGGAGCTGCTGGTGTACCGCTGCCTCTCTCGGTTACTTTGTTTGTGTCTTTGAGCGACTTTGGTGAATCCACACTAACTCTTTAAAACACCAAAATCACACATCAACATAAACTAACCGACGATCAAGTCAGTGGTAGATCAGCAGCTCCTGTGTTCTGCAAGGTAAAATTACTGGAGTCTGGTGGTTTTGAAGAGAGCATAGATAATGGCTTCAGTTCCCCTTCGTAAAGGGCTGTCTGATGGCAAGGTAAAGGGGTAAAAATACTGTAAATATAGTGTACACTTAAACTGATAATCAATTTTTGGGTGGCTAAAATACATTTTTCTGCTGCCCCCGTCAAAGCAGTACATTACTTAGCTTCCAAGGCGGGACTCCTGCCTGCTTCTCCAAAACGGGGACGTGCTGACTGCCATCATCTGTAGGTAATATACTGACTATGGATAAGCACCTCATACAACCCCACTTCAATAAATCTGCTCTATCACTTTAAGGACAGATCTTCATTCACAGACTACATTGTTTGTAGGTCAGAAATTCGAGCGCGGTCTCACTCCGTAGTCGTCGAAATCTGGCGCTTGGGCAGTATCTTGTGCGTCAAAAAAACATCAGAATGATATGCAGCTGGTTGCCGTTCTAGTTTAACGGTGTCCTGCAGCATCAGGGGGAAACACAGTGGGACAAGAACAAAAGTTTAGGCAGCAAAAATCCCAGTGGGGTGGGTGGGAGTGGTGATGGATGGGTCCAACAAACACTGACTTTCACTCAGGAGAGTGGTGCATGTCCCGTAAGATTATAAAGGCAAACCCTGTTCTTTTTTCCTAAATCCAACCATATGCATTTGTTGTTGAAGGAAAAAAGTAAATTCATGGTGTTTGTATGTAAATGTTAAATTTCCGGTGAAAACAGAAGTGTATTTTGAAAGAAGGCAATGCATGTACAGGCAGAACTTGACACGGTGTCCCAGAGGATCAACGACCAACGCACCCAGGGTACGTGGACGTGGGAAGTCCATGACCAAACGTCAATATGTGACGAGGTCGGAGTGAGAATATGTTGGAAATTCTACTTAAAATCAGCTCTTTAAACACCAGAAATCACAACCTCAATCACACCATTGCTGATGTCCCTGAACACAGCTATAGGAAAACCGTTCTGTTTCGGAGATAAGATGTGAAGCAGTTTCTTAAACACTGGATCCTGCACACTGGGCCCAGGTTGTGACACATCTTCCTGTTAAACTTGCAGTCTCATCCCAGACTGAGATAGCTGAGTGATGCCATTTGAGGTATTTCCTCAGACTTGACAAGACTCCTACAGAGCCACAGAAAATATTGTAGAACCATTTTCACAGGCCACATAGTTCTCCCTATGATAAGTGAACTGCCTTCAACATGTAAAATCAGTGTGGTGGCTCTTGAATGATTTGCTAAACCTACATCAGTTTCAATAGTCTTGGACCCCATGGGGATTTAAATGCTGTTTCAGGGACATTTCTATTCTGAAACAAGGACAGTCCGGATGAAATAATACATTCTTGTCTTTTGGAATGGAAAAAAACAGTCTAATACAAAGATATTTCATTTGAATTTCAGCTCATGAAACCAGCTACAGCAGCTCTGATGCAAAAACATTTCAAGCACCTTGACTGTTTAACCAGAACGGTCACAACATCATTCAGAAGTCCTTCATGTTGTACTGGGCAGCAATTCTCGCCTCCCTTTCTCTGCTGTGTACAAAACGTTATTCCACCTGTGACCACTAGGTGTCTCTGTTGTGATGTCTAAGTCACAGACACAGGCGGAGAGCTCAGGGCCCCACTGTTAGTATGTGGATAACCGAGTTATCCAGATTAGGATGGTGACGATGTCGATGAGTCTGCATTTTTTGGGGGATCTTCAAAGCTGGTTTAATCCATATCTGTAAAGTCCTGAAGGCCAAACCTGTAAAACGGCAGAGTTATTGACAGTTAGCTGGATCATGATTGACTCACGTTTTACTGTGAAGCACATACATGAAGTCATCTTTCAATGCAGCGGCTCTATTCTAAGATTTATAATTAAAGTGTTGATTATAATTTTAGAAGAGAACATGCTGGTTATTAAGTCATTATGATCTGCGCTGTAATTACCTGAACTAAATGTTCTTAATGAAGTTATCTATACTTATATGTGATAAAAATGTAAACACATTAAAAGTCTGTGCACAACAAAAGAAGCATTTCAATGATAGTTTGAGATACTGTGAGCAGAAATACTTAAACGCAGCTGAAATATTCTGACTGTTTAAAGACCAGTGGAGACAGAATGGCATTTAGTTTGACATTAAAATTTGTCATTTGAACACTAAAACGTATTAAAGAAATAGTCTGCTGATTCCAACCAGCTTTGAATCTGGAAAATGTGGGTAGTATGTGTAAATAAAGTGAGGTAAACTTTCCTCCATCTTGCCAGCAGCCAGATCTTCCTACTCATTTCCCACCTCAACTCTGCCAGATGACGAGAGGACTGATGCTCAAACGACAGATCGTATACGCCGCGTACACTCACTGGCCACTTTATTAGGTACACCTGTTCAACTGCTCATTAATGCAAATAGCTAATCAGCCAATCATGTGGCAGCAACTCAATGTATTTCAGCATGTAGACAAGTTCAAACCGAGCATCAGAATGGGGAAGAAAGGTGATTAAAGTGACTTTGAACATGGCGTGGTTGTTGGTGCCAGACGGGCTGGTCTGACTCTACTGGGATTTTCATGCACAACCATCTCTAGGGTTTACAGAGGATGGTCCCAAAAAGAGAAAATATCCAGTGAGCCAAAATGCCTTGTTTTGGTTTTAGGTTTTCTACCTTTCAAGCAACAGCAAATGCCACAGCCCATTTCCCCTGTTTTCTCTGGTCATATAGCACCAATTAACCCTTCGCTAAGTCCCGCCCCCGCACGCAGACTGGCTAATCATAATGTAGCATCGGGCCAGCACGTCGTGTATTAATGATACTCGTTACCTGGAGAGGTTGGAAAAAGACATATGTTTCTTCCCTGTTCCAAAACCAAAATCAAACCCTGAAAAGTGTAGGGTTAGCTAGCTACTGAAGATATAGCCTACTGAATGTATAAACATGCTGCTTTTGATTGTTAATGATTATAACAGTGAAACAAAGACCGACCCTGCTGTACAGGAACCAGTGAAGGAAAGCAGGGAAACTTTGCTCATATTCAACCAGCTGTGTGTCATCATATTGTGCCGAACACTGTTCATCTGCACACACTGTGATTCCACACAGCTGGTTTAATATCAGCAAAGTGTCCCTTTATATTCATTGTCTTGTGTGGCGATCAGCAGTGATGTGGTGGTTCACTTTTACACTGTGATCTGTAGCCTATAGTTCGGCTTTAGCTTCTAACTATCTTTGTCTTTTTAACTTGTTGCTGCTGCTGAGTCAGTTTGACATCCTGGATATATCCTTCAAACACAGACTGTAGACCCCTCTGTCTGCTTCTCTCTGGAATCACTCTGTCATTTTTTCCAAAAATATAATAATATTTCTTCAGGGAGTGTAGTTAAGTGTGGGCTCCATGCTTACACCTGCCAAAATCGCTTTGCTGAAAAATGTTCATCAGTTTGCTTTTCAAGAAGTCATAGTAACGGTTCGTCTTCCTAGTAGGGTTATGATAATTACTTAAAAGTCGCTTGTACGTTCATTTAGGAGATCCTCACCTCATCATGCACCAACATCACTCGTAGTCTGACCACATTAACTTGTAATATCTAATGTTTAACAGCCTGGAAACAACAGAAACCTGGTGGAGCACGATGTAGAACAAAGTGACACCTGTAAAAATGCAAGTCCACAAATACAATCAGGCTTATGCATCCTGGGAAGGTTCAACACACCCACCTCATCACACAATCAGCATCATCATCATATGAATGCTGATCATGTTTTTACGTCTCTACTCATTTTTGCATTTGATTCAAAATAAGAGGGCAGTGTTATTTAAGATACAGTAATTATTGTAACCTGATAGCAGCTCGTTAGCCTAAATTAGTTACTCCACATTTGAAGAAAATGACCCAGGTGTGTGTCAGGAGTCAGGAGGGTGTTACCAAGGAGCAGAGTGAACAGCTCTCCTCCAGGTGTCAGAGGATCAGTGCAGGTGACATATTGAAATGATTGTGTGGCTCTGCCTCTTCATGTCACTCACTGTTATCCGTCAATAAAGTCAGAGGAATGAAGCCATCTGCTCCTGCCTTTTTCTCAGGGACGACAGAAACTGATGTCCTCTTCCTGTCCCTCTCTCTCTTACACACACACACACACACACACACACATTCATGAGGATGGATTGAATTTGTCGGTCCTTTTTTAAGGGGCCTTATTAAACCCAGGTCACTCTCTGTCTCCTATTTCTGAATTTCTCCCATGTCTCTTCTTTTATTTCATTTCTTTTCGTTTTGTCTCTGCAGGTCTGCAGAGGTTTTGCGAGGACATTGAAATGATGATTGGTTTCCAGCCAAACCAATTCTGGAGAATCTGCTGGGCCTTTGTGACTCCAACCATTCTGACGGTGTGTTTGTGTTTTTTTGCTCCTCTCATTCTCCCTCACGGACACACTCACACAGACAGACATTGACACGTGCGGGTTAAAATGTTCCCATTTTCGCTGCCCACTTTCAAGTTCATTGATTTACAATTGGAATGGAATTGAGGAGAAATTGCTCCTGTTGCACTAAAATCGAAATTTATTTCTTCCTTCCAATTCTTGTCATGTCACCAAGTCTCAAGTTGTTTGTGTTTTCCAAAACTGTAACTGCCAAATGTTAGTGTGATGTCAGTTCAGATGCTGCAGAGAACATATTTTCTGTACAATGGCCACTTAGTTGTCATAATGCTGTGTAGCAGAACCTGTAAATTCAGAGGCTGTAGCAGCGTGTCAGCGTTGGACCCTGGCCAGCATTCATGTTAGTAATTGTAATGGAAGCCACTGTAGCCCCAAAGCAGAAGTAACGATGACAAATGGAGCAGCAGTCGGGCCGGCTGGTCATCTCGCTGCTCTCAAGGGAGATCAGATTTCCTCGGGGAGCTCATTGATGCACAACCTCAGGCTAATCTATTTCTGCCTGCCCTCTTTTTTCAGTTTGTTTTCATTTTCCTCCTCTTATTCTAATCCTCTTCAGCCAAATTTGCTGTGGATAGGCAGTGGATTTTATTTTTACTCACTGCACATATAGTAAAAATTAGTCTCAGTTTTAATCATCTGTCCTCCTCTTTTATGGAACAGTGGACAGAGCTTTAGCTATGTGTCCTGTGTTCAGTACAGTGAACTGGGAATAAATCTACTTCACAATCCTCCCTCAGTGCAGGCTACATCAGACCATAAAAGTAGGATAACATTTGGGCCGTTATTATGAGATTTTTACCAATCAGGATTTGCTGAAGGATGTAGAAAAGGCATTTATTAATAAATGACCTCATAAATTTTCTTTTATAGTTAAGCATCCCACTGGCTTTGGAAAAATCGTAGAGTGATTTGTTAGATTTTGTTACACTGAAGGATTGAGGGTTTTTTCCCCATTGTTTGAATTGACCTCCAGTTAAACTTTAACTGTGTACCTACAGTACACAGTTATTTAATTCTAGTCTTCAAACCACTTGAGGTGGTTTTAAACTAGCTGCGGCTACCATATATGGTGCTGCCTGCAACTCAGTATTCGCACACTCTCACAATCACCTACCTTCGTACACAGTGGGTATCTCCAGCATCTGTAAATACCCATAGCTGATACCTGAACTGTTTTCACACTGTTTGTAGCTGTGGTAATAAAAATTACTCGTACTAATTATATTGCAATTAGCCCTTTCCAAGTCCCGCCCCTTTTTGCTCTGTGCTCCAATAAACGTTGAGCAAGCTTGGAACAGAACCAGGCCCCTCGGAAAGTCTTTCAGCTTTGCAGTCATTTCTTTCCTAGTGGCCACTTGCTGTATTGCAGCAAAAAAAAATCAGCAGCTACCCACAAGCATTTTCCCCACAGACCACCGTTATAAAAGAGACATAATAAAACTGTTGACAGGACAACAAAAATTATGAATGAATTATGAATTTTGAGCCATGGTGGTTTCATATTTTTAAGACTTTCCTTGATCTGAGAAAATCTGTGACGTCATCACAATGTACAGTCTATCAACCAAGCAGGAACTCATGAGCAACTCATGGCAGGGAGAAAAACTACTGTACATATTTAGTGGGTTTCTAATGTTGAGACCGGGGTCCTAGATTTGTATCATTTTGCCTCGTTAAGCAAAACCAGCCTGTAAATTGAAAAAGCGTTATATATGCAGGTTGGATTCCAGAGCTGGTGGTCAACTTGTTCACTCATTCTATGTTGCCCGCTCAACCATGCAGGAAACATAGAACCCTTTTTGTGTAAGCGGGGAACATAGAAGCTATTTTGCAGGGTTAAGTGGGGAACATAGAACCCGGGAAACATAGAACCCGGGAAACATAGGGATGACCCCAAAGTTACAGCTTCACACACCTCGTCATTTGAAGTGATTTACTCGAACCTGCAGAGCTGCAGGAAACAAATTTGCATGTGATAAATGATCTTCTCCTTTTGAAATTTGTGGATAACTTTCTGTGAAAATCTGCAAACACAACTGACCAGCACAACCACTGCCTTATACTTGTGACCCCTGAGTAGCATCACTGGAGCAGAAGCTGCAGTGATGCTGCTCAAGGACACTGCGGCAGTAGCTCTTGAAGGTAACAGAGAAAATTCATCTCATTTAACATCAATCTCCTTGGTTTCCGGTTCTGTACAGGGCATCCTGGGACTGAGTCTGTACCAGTGGAAGGTAATGACGTACGAGGATTACACCTACCCCACCTGGTCTATGGTTCTGGGCTGGCTCATGGTCATCTGCTCCGTCATCTGGATCCCCATCATGTTCGCCATTAAGATGCACCTCGCCCCCGGCACCTTAATCGAGGTAATAATTGAGACAAAGCCGTGACCAGACATTGTTACGTAAGTTTTGTTTTGGTCTGTTTCACGCGCACACACACACACACACACACACACACACACACACACACACACACTGTCGGAGAAATCAATAGTCTCATCCTTTGCTCATTAGCAGAGGGAGGCGGGCTGCTGGCTGAGTATTAATTTGGACATTTTTCTGGGACTCCGGCAGGTCCCTTTTAAATACTCAGATTAATGGATGGTGATGATCGTGACTTTCTCTCCTAACGTCTCTGTTCCCTCAGCAGCTCTGACAGCAACCTCAATCACATGCCATCCTCCAACTTTACATTTTAATCTCTTTTCTTTCTTTGACTGTAGTGAATACATAATCATCATAGTTTTTACTTGTTCATCAGAGTGATACTGTCTGTGTGGTACTGCTGCAGAACAACTTGTTCTGATGATGTTTTACAAGCAGAGCGGGGGTAACCCAATAGCTTTTGTATATATATATGTATATATATATTTTTTTTATTTTACTTTTTTTATTTTGGGTTTTTATTGATTTTGAGAGAATGCATTCATTAAATCTTTACCTAAGAACCTTATTGTTGAGATGGGATGGTACAATATATGATGTTATTGCAGATCATGATAAAAAACACTCAAAAACTTGATTGTGGTTAATTTTCATTAGTGGATAATCGTGAATATGTCCAGCAGTATCCAAAGTGACTGCTGGGCAACAAACAATAACAGAGACTGTGCAAAAACAGGCTGCAAATGCACCGTCCTCAAAAAATGCAAAAGATCATATTTTGATGATTATCGCCAAGTAAATCAACATTATTTTGGTCTGGATAATAATGACATGAAATTTGCATTTCGTCCCATGTCCATGTTAGGAAAACAGCCCAGTCACCCCAACAAAATGTTGGCATTGTATGTTTCCTGCATACCAGGAATACGTTTGCACCAGGGCTGTCAAAATAATGCGTTAATTTCGTTAATAATTAATATTAACATAATTAAAAGGTAATTAATAAGTAGTAAGTAGTAAGTAATTAATCACAGAAAAAAAATAACGCACTAGTCAGTGAGTCATTGAAGGCCACATTGGCTTTGTCACATGATGGAGGCAGACGAGACGATGCTGCTCGGCCCCATGAATGGAACATTTACATTTAAAAACCACCTGGATGGATCTGTTGAGGGTTAATGTTCTCTGCAGGTTCTGCAGTAAGGAATTTTTGTTCCATCAGAGAACTGAAAGTCTGAAATGTCACCTCAACGCAAAGCATTTGGCAGAGAACCCAGAAGTCTGAGCTAGCACAGCCTCTGATGCTAGTGCTAGCAGCCAGCCTTGTCAAGACACACTCGACCAGGTGTTCAGATGACCGACTAAATAACTCCCTTACAAAATGGACTGCAGAACAGTTTGGGTGGTATAAGACAGGGGGACAATTGTGTCCACAGTCCAGCAGCTTTACTTCGACACATCTGCCAAAATTCATTAGAATTTAATTTTTTAAATACTTTTACAGCAAAAATTGATGTATATGATTAATTTAGGTTAATTAATCACAGAGCATGTAATTAACTAGATTATTTTTTTAATTGCTTGAGAGCCCTAGTTTGCTTTTTTCATACGTATCCTGTCAGTATCTATTTTCTAAAGTGACATGAAATATTAGCTGACGTTATCATCGGAAGGTGAAGGGGATGGTTGTTGGCGTGTCACCTAGGTGAGAGATGCCTGCCAAGCTGCAGAACGCTGCAGACTACTGTTCGAAACCAACAAACGACAGCACTGGTTGTCTTTCAGTGACCCTGATGGAACATATTGCGGCACTTTGGTTTTTGAACCACGAAACCTGAGTGTTTTTAGTGGCACATCGTGGTGTTTTCCAGCGGCATTTGTGTCTGGGAACCTGGGTATATTTCACCGACACATCACAGTGTTTCACAGCATGTTTTAGCTCCCAAACGTGGGTGTTTTATGCCAAAACATGATCTTTTCCTAACTGTAACCAAGTAGTTTTTGTGGGTAGACCCTAACCACACCCTCACCACAGCATTGTTGAGAACACAGTAACATATCTGTTACAAAATAACGTACAAATGCAGCGTATGTGTGGTTTGCAGAAACATTCAATGCAAACATTTTTTCTGCTGATTGGGTTGCTTGAAAACAATTCTGTGCCCCTCCCCCCACTACAAATATGACTCGCTGTATCTGCTCTCCCCGTATAAACCCACTGTGTACCTCCTTTCCTTTCCTCTCCTCTCCTCTCCTCTTGTAGCGTCTGAAGCTGGTCTGCTCCCCTCAGCCAGATTGGGGTCCCTTCCTGATGAAGCACCGCGGAGAACGCTACAAGAACATGATCGACCCCCTGGGAACCAACTCCCTGGGCCTCAAACTGCCCCCCAAGGACTTCCAGCTTGGCTCCTACCAGTAGCAGGTGCCAGGACAGCACCACACTCACCAACTCCAACCCCTGCAGGGGGGCACTGGGAGGAGGGCAACCTCCACCTCTTCTTTTCCCTCCTCCTCTTCCTCCTCTCTCTTTCTCCTGTCTGTGCATCACCCTCTTTGCTTCCTGTCTCTCTCCCTGTATCGTGGATGTGGAAACAGACTCCCCTTTCCTCTTCCTTCTCTTCTTCCTCACCACTTCCTCTCTTCTCTCACGGAGGAGTGGCTGCCCAGGTGGAGTCTACTCCTCCACTGCTGCTTCGGTTAACGGGCTATCATCGCCCCCCCCCCCACACATGACCACTGATTACTTCAGAACCCTTCCCAGGGATCTTTATTCCAAGAGAAAATTGTGTCATAAAATGACACAGCTCAGACTGCACTTGCAATATTAGACTCAACCATAGCTGCTCCCTATGGAGTTGTGTGTGTGTGTGTATGTGTGTACGTGTGTTTGTGTGTGCGTGTGCCGTCATATTTGTGTGTAGAGATAATGAATCATCTTGGTGCAAGCAGACACAGGAAAACAAAAAGAAAACTGAGCGACAGAGAAGCAGTGGTTCAACAAGCTCGGCGGGGATCTGTGTTTTGTTCCATCTGTGTACAAATTTCCAGCGGCAATACAAATAATATCAACTGCCTCTGGAAGGAAAAAAAAAGCAAAAAAAAAAAAAGCACTGGTATCACATTTTGTTCCTATCCAGCAGTATATATGTATATTCACACTAGCTACACTGCTCAGTTGCTTTTGCTTTGTCAAAAATAGATTACACGATCTGCAATTTGTGCCTCTTACGTCCCAATAGAATAGCAAACGCATCCTGATGACCACTTACAGTAGATACACTCTGGCCTGAATGACACTGCGGTACGTTAGAAGCTTGGGTCTATTTTTCTCTCTGAACCCGAGGGACCATTTGTGATACCCTCTCTCTTTGTCTATTTATTAAATTGTATTCCTGTTCTCCTCTATTGTATTATCCTAGAAATTAAAGGACACATTCCTAACGTAGGAAACCACTAGACTAGTCAATCCTTCCTTTAGCAACGTGGCCATTTAACCTTTTTAAGTCCGGGAAACCTGACCTGATAGTCACTCTGTGCATATATTTTAGACGTTGTATTTATCTCTGTATGTGTTGTGAACTTGTCAAAGCATCTGTGGAAACCATCTTTACAAAGTGCATCACATCAGTAGAGTAACAGTATAAAATATATAAATATTTATATATATATATATATATATACATACATATACAGTTATATATGTAAAGCCTCCAGCTGAGGAGAGATCGCGCAAGACAGAGAATGAGTGTGAGTGTGTTCATGTCTCTCTGAACCCCATGTTTCTCCTGCTAGCTGTGTAAAATCTTGTACAAAGTGTACACTTCTTAAAAAAAAAAAAGTTCAAGTAGTAAGTGTGTGTGTGTTGTCGCGTCCTCACATGTTAGGAGCAGCTGCTATGTGTGAGTAGATGAAGATTAGATTAGAAAATGGCCTCCTTCTTTCCCTGGAAGTGTACTTTGTCTCTTGTTGTTTGTGGTAGACCTCCGGAGACCTCTTTGCCATTTCAGACTTTTGCCTCTCGCTTCTCTGTGTGTCCTCGTGAAAACAGGGTCTCAGGTATAATCGATTCCGCCAGACTACTGCGGTAGCTGCGGGAATAATAGCATTCAGTGCATAGGAAACAGAGAATAGAGCCATCCTAATGTTAAATTACATTGGAAGCAGCGCTGGACTGTGCTGCAAAGGATCAGAATCAAACTACGACTTCCTGATGACCTCAATGCAGCATCACTTTGCTTTTTGCTTTCACTTGCTTAAATGCTTCTTGCGATGATTATAAGGATGTACGAGTGACCTAACCTGCTCTGACCACCTGTGTGCAGTGCTAAAACAAGTATCTTGCTTTTCAAAACGTAGGTAGATGGAAAATTAGTTGAGATTAATTATGAAACTCTAATTTCAAATGCCTTGATATTAACATTTAATTGGCTCTTGAGCCAGTTTGTTGACCGTCAATACACTGACAGATTTTAATTACAAACGCAGAAAATTAAAGGCTTTCCACGCCTTGCTCACACTGTGGTCCATCACGCTTGTAGTCTAATTACTGTAGTTTAATACATGTGTCCCTTTAAGTTGTGCTGTTAAGACATCATCAGCACAAATGAGCTACTGTAAAAGTATTTCTGGGGCTTTTAAAGTCCAGATGTAACAAGCCGGTGCAGCTCAGCAGGCACCCGACTGGCTTTGCAGCCCCTTTAAATGTGACATGACAGGCAGCCAACTTTTACTTTGTGGGCTGCCAACCAATTACCTACACAGTAACACCATGTATCCACTCAGAAGCAATTAGTCCTTTCCACACTTTGACCAGTTGGATATTCATTTTCATGTTGACACAAAGTCCTGATCGCCTTTATTATGCTTTTAACACTGCAGGCATTTACTTGTTGAGTGGTTTAAATGGAAGTTGCAGGTATGGATGCAATTACAGTCACTCAGAGGTTTTAAGGGTCTCCCTAACCATTTCTCTAAGCCATGTCTTTTCATAATCTTGACGTGAAAATAGCACAGATATGAGGTTGCATACAAAACATAATCAATTAATGAGCACAAAAACCCTGTTGTTAAATAGCGTGCCTGCTCCACAGTGTTGCTTTTGTTAAGACTTAGCGCGTTTAGCTCTCTTTGTTCAAATGTGATAATAACGTGTGTCTGTGTACGCTTGTGCGTGTGTGTGTGTGTGTGTCTCTGTATTAGTTTCACTGAACTCCACTTAACTGTCAATCAAATGTTTGCATGGCAAGTCTCAGAGTAGATTGCTGAGAGAAACAGAGGAGATTTACAGGATTTTTTTTTTCCTAGGATGCTTCGGCCTGATGCTCCTCTTTCTCTTTTCTGATGGGTGTAAGGATCTTAGACCACCAATTGTGAACTTGAGCTGGGTAAAACTTTTAACACTAATATGCTCCGAAAAAAAATTCAATCGCAACCACTCACTGGAGAGCAGGGGTGGCGGATGGAGCAGGTTTTAAATCATGTGTTGGATGTAGTGGACAGTATGCTCTTTGCAGTAAGAATGATGAAAGGCCTTTTATGCCCTGAGATATATTTTAATGATTTCCCTTAAGGCCCCAGCTAAATAGCTATAAGTTATGTGTTTGTGTCCTCTGTGTTTCCATTTCTACTGGGCTTCTCTGCTTTTGGTTTGAGAAAAAAATGGCTAAGGGTTCAGTTAAAACCGCATTGCTTTATAAAATATAACACTGAAGAGCTTGCATGTGCAGTTTGTGTTGCTGTAACTCAATGTCCATGTATAGTAATCCTTGTCCTTTCTCTCTCAGTAGTATAAGTCCGTGCATGTTTACGTTAGGGAGCTTTTTGTTCTGCATAAAGTTACGAAACAGAGGGTTGCTGTCCTTCTTACGGAGGAGGAAGAAGAAGAAAAAAAAAGTAACTGTCAATTCGCTTTGCCTGCAAGTCAGCTTTGGGCAGTATAGGTAACCAAAGAAAGAGATCTTTATTTAGGGTTGTAGTGGAAACCGAAAACAAACTTTAGAAGAAAAAAGGAATGTGTCATCTGCGTATAGGAGGGTTGAGATACTGCCATTCATATCCCATGTAGTGTTCCTCGATGTTTGCCAATACGTTACAAAACATCTTCAGGTAACCATTGGCCTTATAGATGTCCTCTAATGGTAGAATATTGTATGTATTTCAAAAATAACACCACAGAATAGCTTATCGTCTGTCTCATATGGTACAAGTATTCCTATTGTTATGTCTGTTGTGTCTTTTTGGCACTTTATTGTCTGACCTATGAATGCATAGGTTAAATTTCTAATTACTTGAGTAATGTCATATATTTCTGTGTGTTCTATGTGAGGTACTGCTGCCTATGGATATAGATATGTGCCTCCAACAGCCCATGACATCCTTTGATTTTAAAAATAGAGAGTAGATATATAACAAATATGTTTTAAAAATTGGTGTGAGATGTAAAAAAAACGGAAATATATATCATATATGTGAAATGCATTTATTTATTTTCACTGTCATCAATCTTTGAGGCCCTACCTCAGATTTTGTATTTATGTATAGAAATGCAATTGGATTATAGTATCTTTGCCAATAATAATATATCGCTATTATATCATGAAATGTATAACCTATGAATCAATAAATAAATGTTATTGTTTTCTTTGTTGTCTCTATCTTTTAGACAAGCACCCCCGCTGTATAAGTGGGGCTATAAACATTAACGACAAAGGAAATTAGGTTAACACAATAAGTTCCCTCTGTGACCTGTCAATCAACTTTCACATTCAGCTGCTGAGTAACTGAAGGCATCACGGCTGTGTGAAAATGCTACATGCTGTTTGTTGTTTACAGGAAAATCATGATCAAAGAGGAGACTGAATGGAAAGCTGGTTTGAACGCTCCTGCAGGCATGTTGTTTGTTGGTACATACCATGTGTTGCTGAACACCACTGACTGTGGCAGACAAGCTTGCATATTTCATGACAAACTGATTTGCAATTTAAATTAATTTGCATAGAGCGCGGCGCTTACTTTAGTATATCACATACACAAGTAAGAAGTCCCGACACAATGCTGGAAAGCAGACAGCCTTATTTATTGATTAGCTATGAAGAGGCAGGAAAATAAAGTGAGAACCATTTGGCAAAATAGATTTTGGATGAAATAATTCTGAACACATATTTGAGTGTGCATCATATGAAACAAGACTCAAGTTCCATTCACATGAGACTAGTATTACCTAGGTGCCCCTACATCTGTGTTTCGTGCGGCACATTTGCACGGGATAGGCGAAGTCTGTATTTTACTCAAATTTGCTGACATTTCCCCCGGATATGATGCTTACAGTACACATTTTTCACATCACTGTATCACTGTTAGACTAATCTGATGTTTGTAAAGACTATAAACACAGTGATTGAACAAACATTAGTATTTCTTAGCCGTTAGCGGTGTCTGTAATAACTCATTAAACGGTCCGTGAAAAAAATTTTTTTTCCAGCGGATATCTTAGTTACAACATGATTGAGCTAGCAAAGCAGTTTTGTGTTGCTATGTGTGGTATTTATTCAGTTTTGGGAAATCACAATGTCTAGAAAGCATCAGTGGCTGCAGCTGACAGGGACAGCTTACACTAGCAGCAAAGCTAACATCAGGACGTCATCTGTTAAAAGCCTCCCGTTGTCGGATACGACATGAAACTACTCCAGTTAGCTCAATCATGTTGTAACTAAGACATCCGCGGGAAAAAATACAGTGTATTTTCTTCACGGATGAGCACACGTTTGATAAAAGTGTAAAAGAGTTTAATCTCTCGGCATCCATTTTCAAGCTCTCTGTGTTTGTTTCCTTGCGGACAAGAAAAGGGGAGCGCACATTTCCGAGAAGGAAATACAAAAAATGCAAGAGGTGTTGCTTTGTTGCCGGCTGTTTTCGCCGGGGTGTTAAACACACTTTAGAAAGGAGTGTCCCCAGACTATCAGAAGGCGGAGATCTCTGATTGTCTGGTGGCGAGACTAGGTTTAAACAAACAAACAGCTGATTCTGCCATACATTGTCACGTTATAAATCTCACAGTCTTTGAGATTTTGCTCTTCTGATTGATTTGAGCATGCTTTTCTTGTGAACA